TCTTTTCTTTTTTTCTTTTTTTTTTCTTTTTCCTTTTCCTTTTTTTTGACTATTCACTCGTTCAATTGAAGCATATATGTGCATATATTTACACTATATAACAAAGAAAATTAAGCGCATTAAGTTAATTGGAACAAAAAATCTGTGCATATTTTTCGCATATTTATACTACCCACTGAGTGGCCTATTACATAGTGTTTGAATGGAGTTACATATGTACATATACATATACATATTATGAATGTATTACGTATCCTCTTTATAAATTTTACCCCCACAGATGAAAAATACTTCCGCGGCGCCTGACAATTATCTCGGACTTACCTCCAAAGTAAAAGCACGATTTCCAGTTCCATTTCTTTCGCGGTGAGCTGCAATTCGAGCGGCGCCGGGGGTGCGATATTATCGTCGCGGGACAGATTGGCTAAACGAAGGACTAAAAGCACTCGATGCGTGTCGTTACCCCAACCGGCGTCCTTGTCTCGTTGACTCCACAACCACGTGGCCGCTCGTTCCAGGATAGCTTCCGCCTCGATGTCGGCGGACGTCATATCCGTGTTGCTCGCTGACAACCGATAACATGTTCCCTCGTCATTTGCGATTTTCATTCAAACGTTTTATGTAACAATTTATGCGAGAAACATGTGCTATTACACGTAATTTCTGTCTCGTTCTCTTCGATATTAATATTATTTAAAATCAAATATTTGTGTGACCAGATAGTGCGTCGTTAAAAGTTAAATAGATATTATCGTTTTTTTTTGTTTTTTTCAAGTTATTCTCTACGATACAAACGCTTGTATGAAGAAGCACGTACCTTCTGCGTGAGCGAGTACGCACAACCATCCTAGAAGAAAGATCACAGCCGTCATATTTGCTCTTCCCCACATTTGCACTCGGACGAGAGTTTCAAAACCCGATTACTCTACTGCGGCTGAGAACTGAAAGCAAATAATAATTGCATATATGTATAATACGAGTAGCATTAACTTCATACATATTTATTTTTTTCATTCTTCGGAAATTCCGCTTCTGTCTTTCCCGGAGTAAGCAAGAGCTATAAAAGTTAAAAGTCACCGAAGAATCCTCGGTATCGCTCAGTATGCGCGCCCTGGCGCGCGGAGAGCAAATCTTTCGGCGGCAAGTTCGCACAGAATCTCTTATAGAGCATACCATGAATATTTAAACACTCTCACCTGCCTTCTCCGTGTGTTTCGTTAAACTTCTCGGCGTAGACAAACGTAGTAGTAGAATAATGAACAAGGAATGGAAAAGAAAAAAAGAGGAAAAGGAGAATTGCATTCGAATTCTGCGATCGAATCTTCGCGATTGATTCGCGTGTCGACAACGTTCGAAATTGGAGACGATTATTACCTGATTACTCGTATCAACTAATCATGATTAATGTCAAATCGAGCCGTTAATCGAAATTAGTCCGGTATCCCAGGCAAAACCCAACGCCGTCCATCGGTGTCGACAAGTTTCTGGATTGTATCTGTTTCGCGTCCGTCAACGTTGCGCGTTAAGGAAACCGCTGATGGATATTCGATACAGTTGTCGATGCACTTTGCAACGGACGCGCTGTAATACAAGATACCTCGAAAAAGGAAGTTAAATATCAAGTTGAATTCTTTCGAAATAAATTTTGGAAATTTTTATATCGTGAAAATATAACAATTGTATTAAACAAAATTTAATATATAAAACGAAATAAATTTTTACAAAAAATAAAATGTAAAAATCTATCTTTGCATGTTCGTTCTTTTACACAGACACATATTTATAAATTAATACTGTTATTAATCAATTATGCGCTACTCAATGCGTTACAAATTAAATATTTACGAAAAAAAAAGATTTAACTCTTTTAATTGATTTACTATATGTACATAAATCAAAGCTCGCTGAAAATTATTCTTCTATCGCAAAATTCCGCTTCTATCTATCGAAAAAATTCTGTCGAATTTTTTGCTTATTCATCAGTTTTTATACGGAGGCGGCGCTTTCGATACTTTTCGCGCAAAAGCTGCGCGTTAATTCATCTTGCGTACTTTTTTTCCAGGACATCGCGTGGACATCGGCGGACTTATATATCCCCCGTGCAATCGATCGCGTCCAATCCCGAATCGAACAAGCGTCGACGAATCTACAAGCGGCCAGACACGCTTGATGAAACGTTTTAATAAAGACCAAGCCGTAGCGTGCGTAGTATACATACCGTGCATATGCGTGTGCGCGTACGAACACACACACACACACACATACACCTGTATACATATACATTTACGCATATCGAGCACCCACACACATCGATATGGATACTCACGATAAATCGTGTCTGTCGGTGGTGTACTACCGGAGCAAGTGGAACACGAGGGACGCCGGGCGTCGGTACGCCCGCGTCGGAACACGGACCCGAGGCGCGCGATATTGCGTGGGATCGATATCGTGGCGCCTGTCGCCCTCTCCATATATATATATATATATATATATATATATATACGTGTATATATATATATATATATATACGTATATACACACACACACACATATATATATACATATATACGTATATATACCACATACAAAGAACCGTGTAACTATGTAGACAGGTATGTATATATATACCTGGGTGATCCTCTCTCTCTTTCTTTCTTCTCTTACTCTCGTCCTCATCCTCGTTCTCTTGCTCCCACTTCCGCTTCTCGTTGTCCGTTTGCGAGACGCGTCCTTTATCGCGCGCTCGAGATCGCGCGCGGCATCATCTCGTCTCTATCGAGCCGCCGGTTACGAATCTCGAGGAAGAATATAGAGAGAGCAGGTTGCTAACCGAATGTGTACACATATATACAGTCGGAGTTTTAAAGTCGGAAACACGGCTGATATACAGGTCGGTTAAAATAAGATTGTGTATTTCAATTTTATAACTGTTTCGATGTGGCGTGTCATTTCATTATCGATTCACTTTCTTGATTATGTTGTTGAAAAATTTCGTTATTCAAGTTTCCCGGTACAACTATTTTGTCTTTTATTATATAATAGAATTTGACGACACTTCTCTAAAATACATCGATGAATACAAATGAGACTTAATTCTGTCATTCTGGAAGACATTATTCCTTTCGAATACGAACATAATTTAAATGTAATAATATCGCGATCAATGAATTCTATAAAAGTTCTTATTAAATAATAACAGAAACTGTATATATAATATATTACGTATGCTAATTTTTGTTTCCAAGAAAAAGGCTCTTCGTTAATTTTCTTCAATAACGGCGGACTAGAATATTAAATTGGAATCGAAACGAATGTCTTTTACTCGAATGCTAATGCTTTAATTTGCTTATATTATAGACACATGAGATACTTCGATAAAAGAGTTATACTTAAACCTTGTTACAAAATCAATAAGTAAAAAAATAGATAAAGGTAAAATGAGTGAAAGGGAAAAAAAAAACGGTTTTCTCTGACATAATTATGTTACGACTGACATTCCAAATTTTGAGCTTTATATATTATATAAAAAGCCCCACCGAAAGGTGAAATTTCCACTAAATGCTTCGCAACTTCTTTAACCTGAAATTGACAAATGGAAGAGCAAGAGAGATACGATATCGTTATCGCGCCAAATAGCTTTAGATAAGTCTGATTCTGGAGGGATTAAAGCGCATCACTATTCGAACATTAGAAGAGCAATGGAACGTCTGGTCTAAACGCTGGACTTCTGTCTCGACGAAAGTTGTGCAACTGTAATGGCGTTACGCCGGGAATGTTGATGCGAAGCGATAATAGTGGCGGCGGTAGTGCAATATTGCGGTATAATGGATAAAAGCTCGGTTACCCTCTCGCCGAGGTGTATTGGCGAGGGGGAGGAAAGGGTGAACCGGCTCGAATCTCAGCCGCCCGTTCCCCCGGGTCTCTCTAAATATCGCCAGCATCGTATACAGCTACATACCATTGTTCTCCGGAGACTCGGAACTCGCTTAGAGTCGCGGCAAACTGGCTTATACGCCGCCGGCTTCGAAATTGCAAAATGCAATAGTGCTCATTGCGGTTCGCCTGTGTGATCGTTCAGGATTACACGATTTGGCTGGGGCGACGCATCGGACGCGAAAGTCAGAGGCGCTTTTCAATCCATTTCGTAAAAAAAAAAACAAAAAAACCGGGCTTTCGACAGACCCGCGGCGGATTTTTTTTTCTAACTGTGATAAATAGTGGTTGCATCGCGCATTGCCTAACGATTTGGAGTCCGCAACAAAAGCGAGCCACGTATCGCGTTTAATGGACTCGTGAATGGTGAAACGGGAAGAAAATTGCCGGGAGGGACAATGCCATTGTCATCGGAGTAATTGTGAAGTTTTGAAAAAGAAAACAGCCGACTGCGAAGCGGTACAATACGGTGGTGCGCTGTGTAATTGTTGCCGAGTTGTTTCAACGCAACAGTAGAAAGTTGTAATTCGATAATTTGCAGCGAGCTGCTTGTTCAGAATAATAATAGTTGTACAACATAGTTATACGATACAATACGATTTATTATACATATTTATGTAATAAACAAACTGCATAATATACGGCAGCTGGCTGATTACTTTCGATGCTAATACCTTGAAAGTCAGATGTAACGTTTATCAAAGAAATTTTCAACGCGATTGAGATTTGTAAGATACACATTTGTATAAATCTGTTTGCATTTCGATGCTATCGTTGATACTAATAATGAGGTAGATATAATAAATCAACATTAATGGCGTAAAAATAGCTGATTAATATTTATAATACAAGCATGATTGGTCAAGAATACTTTTTTTACATAACTGTGATCTGTAAAAAAGTCTACATTTCCAATATCAATGGAATTCAATTGAAAACATACGGAAAACCGATAATAACAACAGATATCCAGAGTTTGATAGCAACACTGGACGGGTTATTGACCGAGTGGCTTTTGAAGTAGTTAAGCTCGACAAAGAGCGCGCCTGCGTATACATATATATATATATATATAACCACATAATTGTATTCGATGTGTAATATATCTGATTAAAAAAAGGGTAGAAGAGAATTCTACATTTGAAGTTGTCGATTCTATAATCTAAGTAATAAAACTTCAAATTTGTTTAACTGCAGCATTTAACACGAAGCCGAGAAAAAAATCGTTACTAAAGCTCACGAGTCTCTCGCTATAAAAAATAAATTTATAAAACAACAAAATCGTGCAATGTTTGTGTGCAAGACGCTTCGCGACATTTAACATCTTAATTTTAACAGTATATTAAATGCAAAATACACGGAGAAATGTGTACATTAATGTGCACTCTGCTTCAAATTAGAATTTGGATCAAAATTCTGATTTGCTGATTGACAGAATACATATTTGAATGTTGATTAAAACGCTACTGTCATATTACAGTTAATAATCGTGGCGTTTTGTCACAAGGATATTTGCTTCGAAGCATTCGCCGCGCGGAGCTTACCTCGAGAATTATAACTACGCGAGCAGTAAGCGGTTTTTATAGTCGGTAAAATCAAGGCGTTTACGACATCAGTTTTGTTTGCACGACTTTATAATTGCACTCCTAATGAAATATTCATTCAACCGTCTATACAGCGCACCCAATCTAGGTTGATTCGTGTCCCGCTATTCTGGACTAGGAATTTATGAATGATGCGCGACCCTGATGCAGTACACACATGCGGCAAACTAGTCCGGAGCCGTAAGACTTTTCTCGGAGTAAACTTCGAGTGAAGAATATAGCAATTTCTCAAGTTGCGCGTGATGCACTCCTCTTCGCGGTATACAAATTTTTACAACGCGCGCAAATTTCGCATACCTCTGATTTTCGTATGAAGAATTTACATATCACAATTTTAAACTATATATAAATTTTTTTAAGTGTGAAAAGCAATTTATCAACAATTTTCGCGTACTGCTCACGATATTTTCATTATTGTTTCACGTAATTTAATATTTTGATATATTCAGTTTAATGGAATGCAATTTTAGCCAAATTAATTCTCACAATTTTCCCAGATTTTATTGGATATAACTTCATACATGTTGCAAACATTTCAATTTATTTATTTTCCACCCACGCGGGACAGCATGTATAACATGTTATAATATATTACGATGGAAATTTTTCATCACCCAATTGGAATCGCGACAAACGTTCTTGCTAAACGTGACATTGATTTCATTCTTAATCACCCTTGCTCAACCACTCGATGCGATGATTTGCCTAATCCGATTCCCTCAAAGGCAAAGCCCGACAAATGAATCGGGGCACGCAAAAGTTCGATTAAATCGAGCGAGAATCTCCTCGGATACGACACGTCACTCTTAACTTTGATTCCGAATATCGTGTGTTATGCTTACCGTTTTAAAGAAGAAATCCAGCGCCGTCTTGTTTGTCTACAATGTAGACGGATTCCTCGCAGTCGTGCAACTCGCTTGGACAGAAGTCTCTCGACTTTTATCGTCGCTGTGGGTGAGTGCTGGCTCCTTATCAAGGCCGCCGCCGAAATTGACTCGATGGCGGCGTCGGACACGACGGCGACCACAACCACGGCAACGACGACGACGACGACGACGACGACGGCGGCGGCGACGGCGACGAAAGCGCGACGACGGGTGCCGCGACGATGCGCCTGTCTCGTGAATGCGCAATGCAGACCAGACCCAGGAACGGCGGCGCGCCGCGCCGCGACGCGCGAGGGAAGTTGGAGAACCTCCCTCTTCTCTCCCTTTTCCCTCCCTCACAAGCGTCCCTTGCACTAACGACAGCACCTGATCGCAACTTGATTCAAATTTTTTGAACAAGTCATAACAATCTATCTACGTACATGAAAATAATAAAAATATATATATATAGAGAGAGAGCAGTAAGTGTGCTATTACGCAAAATCGACAATTAAAATATAATTACAAACAATAAAATAAAAATATAATATAGAAAGTAGACACGAAAATATACTTTTTTTTAGAAAAAATTATATATCGAAGCATTCGACATGTTCAAAAATGCGGTATTAGTTGCAAAATGTATGAACGCTTTTAAAAAATTAGAGTTTACACGCAGTGAAATAATATAAAAAATCATGCTGCTGTTAATTATGAGAATTGCACGCGAGCGTTTGAAGGCCATCGCTAGACGTATCACTATCCCTTTCCAACGTCTATCCCTAGCAGCCGGCGTTCCGGTCCTCCCCCGCAAGCCTCTACGCACCCTCTCTGGCGGACATAGTCAATTCCCTCGAGCCACCCTATTCTACCCATTTCCATCCATTTTTCCGAGCCACCCCCCCGCGCACACTCCTTCCCCGCCGCTTGCTCGCGCTTGTTGTCTCTCTTTTTCAATGGATCTTCCCATCACGCTCGCATCTCCGTCGGAGAATGCGTCATTTTTTCTTACTCGTGTTTTGCATTTCCCTCTTCCACCCCTTTCTCGCCCCCTTCCTCTCTCCTCTCAAACGTTCGCCTTCTGAATCAGCCAACCTAGGACACTCCCGATGAATCAGCGTTACCCCCGTCTCGCCAGGGACGTAGCTAGGGAGGATCTCTGGATAGAATTAGGGGAGGACTCCTTTGAGGAATCATGGCTTTGATGTGGCTTGCCGGCCGGCTGCCCGTCAGGAAAAGTAATCTGGTTTACACAGGACGATCCTCCGGTTTACGTCGAGCGAAATCGAGACGCGCCACTGGAAAATAGCATTAGTCATTGAAGCGGTAGAACTTCAGTACAAAAATTTACTACTTTTATCTACGCTTTTTCCAATGCAAATATAAAGCAAATTTATTTTTATAATTACGTCAGAGGAAAGAGACATCCATACAAACATAGTGTTATATTTTGTTTTTAGATTATATCTCTCAGCTGAAAGATAAACATTTACACACAGATGTGCATTAGAGATTGCCTCTGCATTCTTATTATAGTTTTTACTTACTATAAAGTTTTTTAATAAATTATGTATTATGAAAGTATTGTCATTAACGCTGCATATTCGCCGTTATTATATCGTAGCGTTTGTTTAAAAACTAAATTGACCGCATAACGCAATGTAGAGTAAACGCAAACGAACGATGCAGCATTCGTTTCGCGGTATAATGAATTATTAAAACCGAAATTGTATTTGCATGCGAACGCGTTATCGACGGGCTTGCATATTTAACGAGCGTGGCTTATATGTACATTATGTGTACATTCTCGTTTCCAAATTATGTTCCGATACTGTCAAGAATTCTTCTCTGTTTTTATATTAAAATAAAATTTATTGAATGTATAATCACGGTTAAATGACAATAATATCATGAAAAATAACTTTACGTAAAATTGAACAAGTCTTTAAATATTCAAATAATAATTTTAATAACCTGCAGCTCTTTTGGACAAGAATTGACAGAAAAATCGGCATTGCCGATTCTCTTCTGTGACGTGAGAGACAGCATCGTGCAATATCGCGATAACCTAAATCTGAAGAAAAGTCTTCTTTATACAACGGAACATTGATTTATGGCCGGAAAGAATGTGAAAAAGGCGCCCGAAGCTGAAAATGAAGCCAAAGTTGAATCTGAGACGCGGCAAGAGTTACGTTTCGTGTCATCTTTAACGCGTAGAAATAACTCCGGTGAAACCTGTTGCAAATTTCCATAAAAGTAGTAGCCCCTGGCGTTTTAACCTGGTTACATCCTGTTTCTTGTCAGAGATCCTTTTAACGCTCTTAAATAACAACGTTTATAGAACGGAAATTGAATGTGCAACGACAACAACGTTCTACATACACGAAATCTTTCTCCTCTCTTTTAATCCATTTCGGTCTTTCCTTCAAAGTAGAATGTAAAATATGACTTGTGATATCACTTTATATGCAGTATTTCCGGTGTTTTTATAAGAAAAAAGATGAATAATGTGCTCGAAAGAATAAAATTTAAAAAATGGCTTTCCAAAGCGTTGTACTATAAGAAAGAGTAAATTATAAATTAGTAGAGAAACTTTTACGCATCACAGTCAAGGAAAGTTTACATTAAAGTAATTCATAAATTCAGAAAATTTAATTTCGAATCTATAATCTGAGTTTAAAATATAGCTTTTTTTTTGTAGATTTCAAACTTCTTTACTACAATTAACGTGTACGCAACAAACTGGTTACTTCCTCAAATTATATTGGCGAATCATTTTCGCTATTTCGTGGGCTCTATGTCTGCTACCTTTTATTATAATGTACAATTATCCGGTAAGAACCTGAAAACCTTCTTATTAACTTGTAAATTAACTTAAAGTTTGTACTTGGCGCTTATAGAAAAAAAGTATTCAACCACGTAATTTTGGTTTAACATCTTTTTTTCAACTTTTAAAGTTTTAATACTAAATATCGTGCTTAATTCTTTTAGTAAAATTATAATTAATAACTCCATTTTAGAATTAAGGTGATTTATTTTAAACACGTTTTACACTTTTATTTGAAATTCCTAGAAATACGCACATTATTGCACTTGATATTTTTGTCGGAATATTTAGAATATTAAAATTTCATCTTTATCGTGCTTCATATTAGCGTTACATATTATATTTATGCAGTGCGCGCATACACACACATCACAACTTCTCGCAGGAAGTCAGATGCGCTTACGTTGTGCTGCTGCTGGCCGGCTACTGGGTGACAGAGTGCATACCAATCGCGATCACGTCGATGATACCCGTGGTGTTGTTTCCGGCGTTCGGCATTCTTAGCACTCAAGAAACATGCGTCTGTTACATGAACGACACCATCATGGTCTTCATCGGCGGCTTGATTCTCGCCATCGCCACCGAGCACTGCAATCTGCATCTGCGAATCGCTCTGGTTGTGATGAAGACGCTCGGGTGCAGTCATGCGAAATTGCTCGGCGGTCTCTGCACGGTAACCACTTTCATATCCATGTGGATCGCGAATGCGGCAACTACCGCTATGATGGTGCCCATCGCCTTTGCCGTTCTCCGCGAGCTGGAGAAGGTCGGTGCATTTAGGGGAAAGTCTTACAGTAAATTGCAAACACAGATTCTCGCCAGATGGGAGACTCTTCCATTTCAAGTTTGATTAAACTCTTACATTTGTACACACTTTTCTCGCTGGTCCTTGAATTTACCTTTTATAATCATTATAAGCTCGATATGTGTTGGTTGTCTGAGAAAGTGTAATTATTTTCAAAATTTATATTGATTAAAATAATTATATTTAATCAGTGTGTTAATGCGTGTGTTTTGAATTATATTGCATTCACAGCAAGGACTCGGAAAAGTATTCGACATAAAGCAGGATCTGGAGGATCCAGAAGCTGAACCGTGAGTGCTAAATATTGCAAGCTTTTATAGGAAATATTTTGCATGTTATTAATACAGTTTTAATTTTAATATTAATGTGTTATCCACAATTAAAATTGTTATTTGTGAAATATAATAATATATAATTAAGGATAAATAAACTTAAATTGCACAGCTGCACAATTATTTATAACACTTGTGTATCTTAGTAAATGCTAGGATAATAATTTATTAATAATTATTTTTTTAAAATACATCAAGAAATGATTGCCTTTTTCTAGAGATATAAAACCGACGAACATAACGAAGGCTTACTTATTCGCGGCGGCGTACGCTTCGTCCTTTGGGGGCACTGGATCGATTGTCGGTACCCCGACAAATCTTGCTTTCAAGGGTATCTACGAGTACAACTTCCCCGATGCCGATCCCATCACCTTCGGCGATTGGATGGCAGCCTCGATCCCGCAGATGGCCACGAATTCCTTTATTTTGTGGCTGTATCTGCGAATCGCCTTTCTCGGATACCTAAGGCCACATAGCAAAGACGCCGAGATGGCGAGAATCGGCGCGGAAGGCGAGGCCATCGCGAATCAAGTATGTCTGTCTCGGGTCGTGTAATCTTTTTTACACTTTTTTTAAAAATTGAATTAACAACGAGCCAACTAATTACAGATTTTTATTTCGAAATTTACTTGGAATTTATTTAGAATTATTTGCGTGATTTTTATTCCACGTTATCGCGCTATCGCAGGTGATAAGTGATAACCTTAAGAATCTAGGACCCATGACGTTCCACGAGATTTCCGTCGCGACGCTTTTCACGGGATGCATATTCCTGTGGGTATTTAGAGCCCCTGGCTTTGTCCGCGGATGGTCGGAAGTTCTAACGGATGTGTAAGAGAGTTTCACCTTTCTCGCAACTGAAATAAGCTTCTCATTAACAATAAAAGAGAGTAAAAAGAGTTTTAATTAAATTAAAATGAACCCTTTATTTTTGAATTCGGAATAAACTGATGTCGAAGAGTAATTTATTTAAAGCTCCTCGATTCGCAATAATAAATTCTGTCTTTAACGATCAGAGCTTCTTTTATAAATAATTGCGTGACAATTCTGTCGTAGAAACCTGGCGGATTCGACGCCCGCGATCTTCGTGTGCATATTGATGTTCTTCATCCCGAAGAATCCGGTCTGCGTGCGCTTCTACGGCAAGGACCGTAAGGGGCCATTTTAGTCGCGACTCGAGTAGCAAATTACTTGCCGATCCTTTCTCGCAAAAGGTAAGCGAAGTGACTTGCTACTCGCTTTTCCGCTCGGTTTCGCGCGTTACCTCGCGTTGATTGAAATTTCGCTCAACCGCAGCGTCCGAACGGCCTGCCGAATCGTCCGAGGGTCTGATCACCTGGAAGGTCATCGAGACGAAGATGCCGTGGAGACTGGTATTCCTGCTTGGCAGCGGTTTCGCCATCTCAAAGGGCAGCAGCGTTTCGGGACTCGCTATGAGAGTAGGACTGGCTCTGGTGCCCTTGAAGGATCTACCTCCTGTGCTGATGATGGCCGTTGTTCTTCTGTTCGTCAACACTCTGACGGAGTTCACTTCGAACGTCGGCACTGCGAATATAATTTTGCCTGTCGTTGCTCACATGGTGAGGATTTGCCGCGAAACGTCCGCGACATAAAAAATATCACTTGCAAACAATTATTTGAAAGATACAGAAACAATATTCTTTCCCGAACAAAATCTTATTATTTGTTTTTGCACCTTTTTACATTTTTGTTTCTTTCTCTCTCTCTCTCTCTTTCTCTCTTTTCGCCTCTTGATTCTCCGTTTTCTTTTTCCTTTTTTTTTTTTATCAGAGTCGCGATTATCGCTCATCATTATGTTCGCTCTTTAAAGTGCGTAGCGATGAAGATACATCCACTGTACCTGATGATGCCGGTGACGCTGATGTGCTCGTACGCGTTTAGATTACCGGTCGCCACTCCGCCGAACGCGATCATTACCGTCGCGGGACACCTGCCAACTCGGATGTTAATAACAGCCGGGTGCTTCCCTGCATTATACAGTCTGGTGGTGCAAGTTATCTTGTTCTCCACTTGGGGTGTTTTCGTTTACGGCATCAAGGATTTTCCAGATTGGGCAGAATACGCCCACAAGCCGTAATCCAATTGCTGGTAATTTCTGTTTATTATCATTATGACTGTAATCACAGAGAACATCCTCTCGTCTATCCTTTTTTATTAAGCTAAATACTTACATATTAAAAGCTTGCGTGTACAAATTTTTTGAAAATATGATTAACTTGCGAATGTCACACAAATAAATGATAAAAAATTGTAAAAAATAATAATTTATTATTTTACAAAGAGAAAAGTGTCATAACTGAGGGCTGTAGCGAATATAAATCCACTATCGTCTAGCACTCTTATACCCAAGCGCCCAACCCATCGTCATTACTCATCGGTCTTTACCCTACGAATTCTGCCTTCCGCTTGCTGAAAGTCTGTCAGGGTGTGTCGTTTTACCGTTGTTTCTCATTTTTCCTAATTTGCTCAGTCTCCGGTGAATCATTTACGCAGGGATGCAATTAAAAAAAATTTTAAAGAGAGAGAGAGAGAGAAAAACTTTTCTCAGTGAAAAAGATTTTCGAATCTTGAGCTGATATATTTTTATGTTATTCTTAATAATACTTTAAATGTAAATAAATACTAATTATCAGCATTATGCATTTATATGAGCGCCATCAAACAAAATTCTATTAATTTATTTATTTATTTGTGAAATGCTTGGTGCTAAAATTGAAAAAAATTGCAAAAAGTGGAGTTAATCAGCTTGGATTATGAGCGATTCATATCGTGCACTCACGATTTCGATTCGATTTCGAATCTTGCCGCGATATTAAAAAGTGAAGAATTGAGCAAAACTTCAAAAGATGGCAATGTGTCTACGGATAATAATTAATGCAAAGATAAGATTATCACATTGATACATTTTGAAATATTAACTGTGTTCAAACAAATATACGTGAATTTTAAATAATATGGCTGAAGAAACCAGAGAAGCTGAAGATGAAGAGCCAAGAGAAAGGTTAATGTCTAATTTAATATTCAATTTCAATTTTTACGGAAACTTGTTATTAGCATTTAAATCATAGCAACGATAACATTATAAAATGATTATCGATCGTAGAATTACGCAATATTATTATTAAGCTTCTGTATTGTTACATAATTTTACCAAATTTTAAAGAGTTTCTAAGATTGTGGCAAACCAAATTTATGCTATCACCCGACATAAAGAAAAGATTGAAGAAATTTCACATTTAGGCAAAGAGAGGATTTTATCTACTATCTGAGATTGACGGGCAGCTTTCTCAAAACTTATTGGAAGATTGTGTTTGCGCTCGTATGGATATTATTTCTGTTACCCTTCCTCGTGATCTACGATTGTTTGGTATTCTCTTCCTTTTGATTTGAAATAAATAAATTCTGCCAATTTCATTATTATCTATATTTCAATCTTTTGTGAAGTAACCGAAATTATCGTCAATGGTTTTCTCGTAATTCGACGATCTCGATAGGAGGTCAGATGCGCGTTTGTAGTGTTGCTGATGGCCGGCTACTGGGTGACCGATTGCTTTCCTATGGCAGTGACATCGCTGATACCGGTGGTGATGTTTCCGTCGTTGGGTATACTGAGTACGGCGGATACGTGCGCTTGTTACATGAACGACACCATAATGGTGTTCATCGGCGGTTTGGTCCTCGCAATCGCTATCGAGCATAGCAATCTACACCTGAGAATCGCTCTCGGCGTCATGAAAACAGTTGGCTGTAGTCATGCAAAATTGCTCGGCGGCCTCTGCGTGGTCACAACCTTCATATCCATGTGGGTGTCAAACACTGCGGCCACTGCTATGATGGTGCCCATCATATTCGCCGTTTTGCGCGAATTGGAACAGGTGTTGATTACTATTTTTGTAATTTAATATTTAACGGTTAACATGACTTTAATAATATTTAATGCAATTTTAATTATTTGGCGAACGAGTGTTACTGTATATGAAACAACGATATACTTTTCTACGTTGCTAATTAATACCTTATGTATTAGAAACAATTTTTATTGCGATGAAAGTAACGGATTGTACGCAAAAATTATTTATGAGTATGTCGTATATATATAATTTTTATTTATTTTTATTATTATATCTAATTACTTGTATTTGTGTAGGCTGGACTAGGTATGGTGTTCAGGACGGAAGAAAAGCCAGACGCCGCGCCGTAAGTATAATTAATTAGTTAAAATATAAATCATAAAAATTATCAAGATCAAATTAAAATATAATTTAAAGTAATCAGAATTCCATAATATTTTATTTTACATAAATCGCTCAATGGCGATGCAAGATTTTATTTTACAAACGTAAAATGTTCAATAAGGAAAAAAAAACAATTTAATTTTTTTCGAAGTCATGTACTTTTTTTAACAATTTGTGCGTTTGACGATTCTTTTCAGAGAGATAAAACCGACGAAATTAACGAAAGCGTACTTGCTAGCGGCGGCCTACTGCTCGACGTTCGGCGGAACTGGAACGATAGTAGGAACGGGCACGAATCTGACTTTCAAAGGAATCTACGAAAGCATATTTCCCGAATCCGAGGGAATTAATTTTACTCAGTGGTTGATCGCGTCTTTTCCCCAAATGGTCGTTAATTCTTTCCTTACTTGGCTGTATCTACGAATTGCTTACATGGGATTCTTAAGACCGCGAAGTAAAGACGCTGAATTGGCCACCATAGGAAGGGAGGGCGAGGCTATCACAAATCAAGTGAGCTTCAATAAGCAATATTTTTTTATTTTAATACATTTTAATAGCTCAATTTATAAAGAACAGTTTTAATAAAGCAAATCAAATAATGGTTCAAAAACTCGGTCGCACATTTATAACAGCCTTCGTTAAAATTACCTTGATCAATTTGATAAATATAATTTAGTGAAGTTTATTAAATCGTGAATTGCAAATTAATGTGATTATTTAACTAATGGTAATCCTTTCAGGTCATAGAAACGAGATACAAGAATTTGGGTCCGATATCTTTTCACGAGTCTGCAGTTGCTATACTATTTTTTACATGCATGTTTCTTTGGTTGTTCCGCAAACCTGGCTTCATCGTCGGATGGTCGGAAGTGATTACTGATGTGTTAGTATTTTAAAGCGTTTCAAAAGACATTTTGACATATGTTTAACTAAAGAAATGATAATTGCGCAGAGACCTCAGAGATTCAGTACCAGTAATATTCGTCTTAATTCTGATGTTCTTCATTCCGAAAGATCCCAGCTTCATTTACAGCTTCAGTCAAGATCGTAAGAAATTGCAGAAAATGTTTCATTGGTCATCAAAATTTCAATAATAATAATAATAATTTGTAAAATTGTAAAATTGTGATTTTTTAAATATTTATAAATTATAAAAATTAATTGAAAATTTAACAGACTACTTCCAAGAAGAGGAAGTACATAAAAATTTCTTATTTTAATTAATTTGTGTTAAAAATATTAAGCTTGCAAAATCCGCAGCTGCTAAAAGACCGAAGAAATCATCGGAAGGTTTAATCACATGGAAGGCAATCGAGAGCAAGATGCCGTGGCGTTTGATGTTCCTACTCGGCGGTGGATTTGCGATATCACAGGGGACCGTCGCGTCCTGTATGGCGAAACGGGTCGGTGAATCCCTGTTACCACTTCGTTATTTGCCACCCCTTTTAATACTCGTCCTGCTGTGCATTTTCATCGGTACAATCACAGAATTTACTTCAAACGTCGGCATCGCAAATATCACCCTACCAGTGATAGCGCAAATGGTAAAGCTGTTAAATTCTCTTGCATTTAATTAAATATATAATCTATTAATTATTTCAATGTTGACGTACGCCTTAAGCCTGTGTCACACTACGTATTGCGGACGCGGATCGGATTGGGATTGCGGATCGCAAATCGGAATTCAACCAATCAAGACGAAGCATAAGAGTATTGATTAGATAAATTCCGATCCGCGATCCGCAATCCCAATCCGATCCGCGTCTGCAATACGTAGTGTGACACGGGCTTTAGTGTATGCATGTATGTAAAATTTTGAACTTTTTTCAAAATAAATTTTCTTCCATTTGTCTCCGTATACGTTTGCCCTTATAGTGCGTAGCAATGGAGATGCATCCCATGTATCTGATGGTACCAGCTGCATTGATGTGCTCTTTTTCCTTTCGTCTACCGGTCGGAACGCCACCGAACGCGATTATAACTGTCGCAGGACACATCCCGACCAAGTGGTTGATCGCCGGAGGCTGTACACCTGCGATTTATAGTCTAATTGTGGAGATTATTTTATTCCCGACGTGGGGTGTCTATGTTTTTGGAATCAAAGAGTTTCCCACTTGGGCTATGCATGTTACGAATAATGAGACAAATGGACGTTGTTAATTAGACATTTTATTTTTTATATTCCACATATATACATATATATTTGTTTATTTGTACACATGGGGACAGGAATGCCTTCTCACATGAAGTTACACGCGTCTCGTCGAAAAACGGATACGTCGAACTATGTACTGTCAATTACATTTTCCCGCTCTGAGACGGCGTTGCCGTTTTCC